CTGCAAAGAAAAAAACAAGAACTCCAAGTCAGAACCCCCTCTCCAGAACTATACTCCAGGTTCTCCTGATTTCTAAGATGTTCCCAGGTAAGGGAGGGGATTTAATCCCTCCAGTAAATTCTCCTGCCATTGGAATGTGCCTGGAAAACCTCCAGAGGAAGGCAACCAAGATGGATCTTGATCAGATGAGCTGACTGTTTTTGATTAGTTGCAGCTTTTCCCTGATAATGGAGCTCTTCACCTTTTCTCTAAGGCTGAACTGGGTCATCATGCAGGAAGAAGCTGTTTGTATCCAGACACCATCCAGATCTTGTGACCACAGGTGAGGGTTGGAGCACTGCAGACACTGTGGTTCCTAAACCAAACCCTCTCCTCTAGGGTCAGAAATTGGGAAGTGTCCCATTAGAATCTAGCCTGCTCTGGAAAGCAGCTCAGACTCAGCAGCACACGGGAACATCAGCAGCTATTAGCCAGCCCACCGCTACATGTGCTAAAGGCTACATGTGAACAAAGATGGTGAAATCTATTCTTTGTGAGAACTGCTGTGGAGCTCAGGGGAAGCAGAAGTTAGGCAGATGTGTGAGGGCTGGAAAAAAACTGAATTTTGAGTTTTACTCATTAATATTCCTGATGTGCCATCATCTCGCCTCTGATTGGCCAACAGCAGCATGACTAAACCACTGACTCCATTTGCTCTGCTACATTGATGTTTTATCTCCTCAAATGACAGAAGCCTGAAGGAGTTCTGTTATGCTGTAGAGCTGCTAATGCTAACAGCTAGCTTCTACTAGTCGAGACGCGCTCTGCTCTCTCCTGGATGCCAAATCAAAAACAGCCTTCCTCGTTCGTGAGCCAAGATGGGCGAGTCTATGAATGGAAATTTACAGTGTGACGCAGACCTGTGTGGCTTTCTCTAACCTGAGAAAGGAAGATGAAACAGGAAAATGCAGTAATGCAGTCAAAAAAGTTTTGGGGGGGTATTTTTCATGAGACAACAACAATATTACATGCTAAAATGCTCCAAAAAGTGAATTTCCATGATATGGCCTCTTTAAAGACTCTTGGCTACAGGCACGTCAAATTGCATCTCTGTCAAATTGACTGAGTTTCAGCTGTTTCTGTGTTTGCCAACGTTGACTGACTGTGGCAGACAAATTACTCTTGTTTGAGTCCAAAAGTTAATCAGTTCACATCTAATGGTTATTTTCTGGAAGTTTCATTAAAATTGGTCCAAGTCTGTCCAAGACCAAAGGGAGGCATTAAAGGAAACAACTGAAGGCTGTAAATTTGAAAAGTTCTCAATGACAAAATCAAAATAAAATAGAAGGAATTGATGCAGGTTGAACCAGAAAACCTGGATTCTGTTCGATTTTTAAAGTTTTGTCCTCAGAGTCAAAAAGACGAAACAAAGTCAGACGTGGCGATGAGGGCCGCTGCTGACAGGGGCACCGCGTGCGTTACAGGTCGGGAGTGATGAAGGGAGTTTAGCCTCAGTGATGGATGGAGTGTCTGCTCAACTCTGACTGATTACAGTGAGCAGGGAGGGAGTGGGGTCGGGAGGCAGGAAGGGGCCGAACGAAGCATCCAATCCTGGCTGGGATGGGTCCAGCAACAGTGTGTGAGAGATAAAGGTGTGTTTGGCTGCTCTGACTGGAGAGCAGGACCAACGCCAGAACAGAACAGGAGTCAGAAACACAGAGCAAGTCATCAATAACACTCGAGTTTAAATTACAGTCAGGCTGTCGGGGGGGGGGGGGGGGGGGCAACTGAGACAGAGATGACAGAGATGAAAAGAGAGGTAGAAGGAAGAGCTTAAGGTGTGAAATCAGACAGAAGCAAGATGAAAATGGACTCTTTAACAGACACACTGACGGTTAATGGAGTTTACACTCATTAAAGAAACAAGAGACGTGTCGCGTTTGTTATTCCTACAAAATAAAAGTCTCCACTAGCTGCAGGAATTAATTAAAATGTCCAATACAATTATAATCAAGGAGAATGTAGCTCTCTCCCTTGTTATTAAAGTATTTCTCTTGTTTTTTATAAACCATTTAACATAGAAGACCTTCAACAGATTTAAAAACACATTTAATTTCCTTCTTTAACCTCCTCTGACCCCAGCTTTGTTTGGTGTGAATGGGTGAGCCAAGACTCACCCATCTTGGCGCGGGACGGGGAAGGCTGTTGTTGGTTTAGCGTCCAGTAAACAGCAGAGAACATCTCGACTAGCAGAAGCTAATAGTTGGATTAGCAACTCCACAACACAGCAGAACTCCTTCAGGCTTGTGTTATTTGTGGAGATAAAACATCCATGTTGCAAGTCAGTGGTACAGTTGCGTTGCTCTTATCCGATCCAGAGGAGAGATGTCCAAATATCTGGAAATAAGACTCCAAATTCCGCCGTTACTCTCTCCTCTGGCTGAATTCTCAGTGCTGAAACAGGCACTTCAAGTGTGACTTATGTAATGATTAAGAGTGTTCAACATCTTTAATAAACTCTCTGGTCACCTGTGTGACATTCTTGAACCCTTTTACACCTTAAAGACTGTGGCATTGCAGCAACGTTACTCAGAGTGTGAGGAGATTCTAAACAAAATACTTTCCTACATCTGGAAGGGAGACTTAAGCAAGAAGTTTCACGCTTTATTCCACAGATAATGAGCCTCAGAGTTGACCGATTGAAGAGGAAACGTTTCTGATTCAAACCTAAAAGCTCAAAGACACAGCTCTATCTCATCCTGACAGTTAGCCAGGGACTTTCATTTGGACACGGAGATGGAATGAGGAGATTTGAGTGACTGAATCCTCTGGGATGATGATGATTGGTGTAAATAAAGATCAGATTCCTCACAGCGGCACAGATGAGATACTATTCCTGACGCCAAAACCACCGACACTGATCGAGAGAGATGGAGACACTCCTCCTGAGAATTGAATTAGCATGTTGCACCACCACGTGAAAATTGTTTAAGTTATAAGTACTGCATGCTAAATGAATTAATGGTGGATCAGAAGCTGCATCAGATGTCCGCCCGTAATAAAAAGGTTGATTTATGTGTGCTACGTTGTCTCAACCTCAGATTTTTTGCTGTTTTCTCAAAAACAAAACAAGGTATACAAAGGCTGGAGCTGTCTGAGGAAATTGAAGGTTTCATTCACTGAGAAAATTTCTAACACTTGTTCTTTTTAAAATTGGATTAGAGAAATATAATAAACAAGATCATCTGGTGACAAAAAAACTGTGCCACCTTGGCTTAAGGCTGTGTTGTTTTTGTTGTCAGGAGAGAGCAGAGTCTCAGCTAGTTGAAGCTAATAATTAGCAACTTCACAACATAGCAGAACACTTTTAAAGGGATACTTTTTCATATGTTTGTATCATTTTCTTGAGCCAGTAAGTGCTAAAATGAGCCTTTACAGGGTTAATGAAATGTCACTCCGCTCTATCGCCCCCTGTGGCCAGGATGTCCCACTTGCAGCTTCACAGTTGGTACGGTCTGCTGGACTTAAAAATAAATTAGCTGACATACTTGGTGCTGTGATCTTCTTCCAGCAGGTTTCCTGCATGTTTTAGATCATGAACACAGCTGATTTGTTTGATTTAGTGACTCATATAGATACAAATGAAGGCTGAGACACGTTTCAGCTGTTAGATTAAGGTGTAGAGGACTTGAGTTTGGGAAGATGGGACCACTCACTTTTTCAAACTTTTCTCCACTAACCTCCTCTTTTCCACCTTGCTCCTGTCTGAGATCCTCTTCAGTAGCGTCCCTGCTACCATTTCCTATGATCGCCAGACTCTTTTGTCCTCCTGTTCGTTCACGATTGCCCAAGACGCACCGAGGACGTGCCATCCTTTTTGTTTAACTGAGTGGCGCACTGGCCCAGAACCAAACAACGGTCCCGAGCTGCCCGCCTCTGGCTATGTTTGTCCGGTCCCGGGAAAACGTTGGAGGAAAAGAGGTAAACGAGCAGGAATCCAGGTGAGAATAAGAGTTCTCTTAAAGCGTGGTTTATCTAGTAAACATAGGCGCAATCTTCTAGCTTCTTGTCCTTTGTTTGGTGACCTGAGCGCCACTTCTGCATTCCCGCCAGGCCGCGTTGCAGCGCGGTTCATCCGTCCAAGTTTTTTAAGGTCTGTTTATCCTCATTCCTCAGTGGTTTTTCCTCCTGTTCCCTCCATAAGTGGTTTTTATAAACACTGTTGATCTAACCCTGCTAATTTACGTCCACTAACTCCAGCTGTTTCTGTAGTTTCTGATTCCTCCTCCTCACTCAGCATGGCTCTATTAAATACCCGCTCTGTTAACAATAAGTCTTTCCTGCTCAATGATCTAATTCTCTCTAAAAACCTGGATGTTCTGTTTCTGACTGAAGTTTGGCAGCAAACATCTGATTATTCTGCTCTGATTGAACTCTGCCCGAGTGGTTATTCTTTTCTTAGCCAGCCCCGGGGTTCTGGTCGTGGTGGAGGCCTAGCTGCTGTTTTCAGAGACCATCTTCCATATAGCTCTACAACCTCTGGTCACTTTGCTACCTTTGAACTGCAGCTGATTAAAGTCGGGCGTAAGGATCCGTTCTACTGTGCTGTGGTCTATCGTCCACCTGGTCCAAACAGTTCTTTCCTTCAGGAGTTTAGTGACTTTCTATCCTCCACTGTGAAGCTGTCCAGACTGGTGATTATTGGTGATTTTAACATCCACGTTGATGATCCCTCTGATCACTTTGCCATGAATTTCTCCAGCCTTATGGACTCCTTCGGCTTTACCCAGCATGTTTCTGGCCCCACACACACCAGGGGGCACACTCTACACCTTGTTTTTACCCTGAGTCTAAATGCTGACAGTGTTTGTCCTGAGGACGTTTATATTTCAGATCACTATTGTATTTTCTTTAACTTGTCAGTTTCTGCGTCCCCACCTCCTGCTCGCCGTATGGTTAGTTCTCATTTTCTTAATGAGAGCACAGCTAGCAATGTTTCTGCTGCTTTTGATCCACCCTGT